ATAAACCGCGCCAAGTTCTGAAAGTTCGATTCTGGAATCGTCTCGATCGGAAAACCAAAGACAAGAAACCCAAAGCCGATATAAATGTCATCAAAGTTCGCAACTATCGTTGTTATTATGGGGAAATTGGACGGGTCCGGTGGATTTTATGAAGCAACCAATTTTAGCGGGGCGAACTTATTTATACACCTTATTTGAAAGCCTTAAAAGCTCCACTTAAAAGACTTTCTCTTCACTTTCGTTGAATTGAATCAACCAATGAGCAGAAATCCGTTGAAACATTTCTTGATGAAATCTGGAAACTTGTCAGCTTTTCTCACGAAAGTTATGCGAAGTGAACGTCCGTACATATGTTGCACCTTCCATTATATCAAATATATTTGAAATTCCAACACAAGCAATAATGTGCAAGCAAATATGTATCAGAGATGCTTTAGCCTATTTATAGATCATACCTAACCGGAAGATATTAAATAGGTCGGGCTCGTCCATATACGATTCCGTCGGACACTCGTGTACTAATCACCTTTGCAGTGTTAAGAGTGCATTTCCTCGCTTAATGTTACACGATGTGGCGTTAAGGCTTCACGGCAAATTAGTCGCGTGAAACACGAAGACACATCTGTTGCAGTACAGTTTCTCGCTCTTGTTCGCCCACCATTAGTATCACATTACTAAAACAATGGCATTAGAGAAACGAAGATGACCAACAATTTTCTTGTTCCTCTAAAATGTTGGAAATAATTGAGTACGAACTAAGTAGATTGACTCTGCGTTGACGGGAGCGGGCAAATACGCCTTAAAGCAACAAGTATGATTTCTTTGAAATTTTAACTAAAAGCATATATTTAAGTAATCCAAGGTTACTTCTATTCACGACTGTATTTTTTTAAATCAAAATTTAATGACACTTCCATGAGTTTCGCTTTCACTTTCGCTTTCGCTTTTATAGCTTTTAATATTTTCCATCGTATCCGCAATGAATCAAGTCGGGCTCTGCATAGCAAGCAAGGGCATGCAAAGAGGTGAAGCTTCTAAATTGGTTTCAACTTTTAGCGGTGAGATCTTGAAATCTTAAAAGCAATAAAATAGACGCAGCTTCTTAGATAGTCAACTTGTGACCTAATTTGCTCGAATATGTCAAGTTTGCGTTGGGTGCGTGTGTATGTTAAATTTTCAATATATTAAGTTGAACATGACAAAATGGATAACCTTAGGTAGTTATGCGACATAATGCTTACGCCCTTTGGTGAATACAAGAAGACTCGAACACAGTCGAATGTAATCAATTGATCAGTTTTTTAATTTTGTTTTTTTTTTTTTTTTTTTTTTTTTTTTTTTTTTTGTTAATCATATTGGTATGTATGGTTGCTTTTATAAAATTTAATGAAACAACTTTTTTCAAATTTTGTTTCGCCTTTTGATTCCTTCCATTATGGCAACCACGATCAAGACCAAGATATGTAATCATCATTAATTAAATTAAAAAATTATTTATGACAAAAACATACACATAAGTATACAAGCAACAACAAATTATAAACATTTTATATTTGTTTACGCGTTATTTACGTTGATCAGGTATTTGCAAAATTTATACGACGCATTTTTATTTTTTTTTTTGCTATTTTTTTTTAACAACCACCAACGGTTGGCGGCACTGCATTATAACTCGTATTAATGATACACTGTCGTATATATATATATATGTGTGTGTGTGTGTAGTTAGTTTGCAATTTCAATGCAATTCAAAATCATCGACAACCGTAATTGTCGTTGCAATTTCTGCATAGTTGCATGCATAGATATTTTAATGTTTATAGGTGTGTGTTTGCGATGTCAGCTTTGGGCAACTCTTACACTTGCTTACCTGTTGATAGTGTGTAATTAACAAATTAGTAGCAGCTCGGATCGCGGCTTTTAGTTTAGCTTAGCTCAACTTAGCTTAGTTCAGCTCAAGGCTAATTATGGTGATTTTTTAATTTATGTGAATTTTTTTTTATTGCGGTTCATGTCGTTGTTGTTGTTGCTTTTGTTTCATTAAAAACTACTTGATGAAATTTATGTTATTGTGTTGTGTGATTACAAACTATACACAAGATATCTATGCATGCATAAATGGTGCCCAGAATCTCTTGCTTAACATTAATTATATTATATTTATCAGATTTTGTTGATTTTTATTCGCATTTTTTCTTTTTTTTTTTTTTTTTTTCATTATTTTCGTTTTCGTTTCTTTCTTGGCTTTTGCTTAGAAATAGCAAATGTGTTTCAGGCAGTGTAAGTGTGTTGCGACTTTTAATGTTGCGATTATAAACAATTGATAAATATTGTTAATTACATAGTGATATGAGTATATACGACATGCGAATTTATATATATATATATATATATATGATCGTAAAGGGAGGATCGATAGAAAAATGAAGACATTTCGTTCAGTTACTTACGATTTTCGTTTTTTCCTTTTTTCTTTTTGTGTTTTGTTTTTTTTTTTTTTTTGGTTTCGTGCATGCACAAAAACCGATATTATTAAATTTCCCCTCTCTAACTGTCTCTCTCTCTTGATCTTTCATGGCTTTTGAATGCATTAGTAGGAAAAATGTATTTTAACATTAGGTATGAACTTCGCTTTCTACAAAGCTAGGATTGACTTCGCTTTCTATGAAGCGATATTTTCACCATCTACCGGATACTATATGTCGGACGCATGGAAATGATCTGATTAGCTTACAAATTTCCCATAGAATAATTCCCGAGATGTCCAGCTTCACGACAATTGAAGAGAACCGCATATTATCAATTCTTTCCACTCATTGCGTTTGTACATCAGTGTTACACCGAAGTATTATAAACTTTTGTACATCTAGGAGGATCTATGACTCGCCAACCAAAGAGATTTTGATGTACCTGAGAATAGGCAAAGTTGTCATAAACGAATTTTTTAACAAAATTTAAAGGTAAAGGTATTGAAGCGCATACCATAACATGATAAACAGTAAACCATTATTAAAAAGTTAAGAAAGTGTTGCCCATAAACTCTAACAACAAGCATATTCTGGCTATGAGAACAATGAGAAATGACTTTGAATAGAGAAAGAACTGGAAAGCAATTATTAAGGGCTTCGGATGTTTTCCGAGATGAAAAGAGCGCTTTACCTTAGCCAATATCTACTACATTTACAGTTCCTACGCCCACACCAAGACAAGAATACAATTCTCCAGGTCCTGTCTGGAGGTTCTCGATCGCTGATGAGCTCAGATACTTATTGGCAACGAATGATAAATAGGGAGAGAGCCAGAGAGAGAGAGAGAGAGAGAGAGAGAGAGAGAGAGAGAGAGAGAGA